GGAAGGTACAAGCCAAGTATGGTGTCACATGCCTGTAATCTTAGCTTAGGGGAGGCTTAGGCCTTAGGAGGATGGAAACTTCAAGTACATACACACATACTCACTACACACACACACACACACACACACACAGAGACAGAGAGAGAGACAGAGAGAGAGACAGAGAGAGAGACAGAGAGAGACAGAGAGAGACAGAGAGAGAAAGAGAGAGACAGAGAGAGAGAACTAGTGTCTACAAAAGAGATCAGCACATCAAACTAACTGATTTAGTTAGCATGGCATTTCTAAGTCACTGAGCAATTTTGTCTTAACACAATACCATAGCAAGCTAAACAACAGGTGTCTATTCTCACATCTGTGCAGGTGGGGGAAGCGGAGCCCACAGGGTTGGGTTCTGGATTAACGACAGGTGCCTTCAGTAACTGCTAGATGATTCAAGTATCTGAATCCTTATCTTCAGTCACTGAATTTCCAAACTACTAAGTACACTCCCTGGTACTAATCAATTTAGATAAATATTGCAGAGCAATGTCTCAAAAGACAATAATGATGACAAATTAAATATCCATTACCTACTACATAATAGTTATATTTTATCTTTAAAAGGTATTTCTTAGTTCATCAACCCTCACATCATGCAGAGTAGCACAAACCTTTTTCTGTACCTGACCTAGTCACTCTCAGATGTTTGTGTTAGGACAGGGATAAACAAATGTGGTTCTGATTACTGCACTCTTTTCAAAAAGTATTCATGACAAAACAGTTGATTTATAAGGTAATCCTGAAATGTTTGTTTACAAATACCTAAGAAATAGTATATAGGTGATGGTATGTGTTAAGAGTTTATTCCTTTTGTTCTAGTTGCCCATATTAAACATGCATTTTTAGAGGACAAAATCAATGTGGAAGGAACTTTAGAAGTCACCGTGCCCTAACTCCCAATGCTTACATAAATCATTTCTTGAACATTTCCAACAGATAGGAGCTAATGAAGTTCTGAATTAGCTATTGCCAGATATTTCAAATGCTATCAAATCTGTGTTCCATGGAGATATGGATTCATTTTTATTGATGAAATAAACTTGCAAATCTTAGTAGATTAAAAACTTGGGTTTATTATATCACAGTTCTCTCAGTGAACAGTCTGGGTGGGCTCAACCAGATCCTTTACTTAGGGTTTCAAAAAGCTGACGTGAGAGGGTTGGTGGGACTATGCTGCTTATTGGGAGCTTCCTGGGAAGAATCTGCCTTCAGACTCTTCAGGTTTTTGCTCATTCTCTGGAAGTTATAAAACTGGTGTCTACTTCCGTGCCACCCTCAGATCCAGGCCAAGCTTTGCTCCTGGAGCTTCCTGCTTTTCTCTGCTTTCCATACAGCCTTTTCCAACACAAATGGACAGAGTTCTGCTTCTGCTTTTAGTCTCTCTGATCTCTCTGGCTCTGACTGGAGAGAGTTCTAAGGACTCCTGTAATCAGATTGCCTCCCTTACAAAACAATCCAGAATAACTTTTCTATGTTAAATTTTATAATGTAAATCTACAAACATTTCCTTTTCTCTCTTATTTGTGTTCTTGAATCTGAAGTACATGTCTTAGGAAAGCAGATGGTTGAGTCTTGCTCCTTTATCCAGTCTGACCATCTCTACCACTTTATTCATGCTTAACCTATTTATATTTAATGTACCACTAATATGGCTGAATTTATGCCAGCTATTTCCATAATTGCATTCCACAGATTTCATGCCATTTGGGGACTTCTATTCATCTTTTTTTTGCCTTATTTATGTTAAGCACGTACTTTAATATAACATTTTAATTACTGTTATTTTCATTAACTATAATTTTTGGTACTAATTTCCTGTGATTACTTTAGGAAATACACTGTTTTGCATGTTTTCATGGTCTACTTTTGGTTAATAATGACTTAAATTTGGTGAAGTATATGAACTTTGCTCCAAAATAGCTTCATTTTCTCATTAAATTACATATTCATGTTTATGGAACTTGATGGCATGGTGTTAGAGGATTAGTCCTTTATAGGTCTTCTAAAGAAAACAGGGCTAAGGATCTATCTCAGTTAGCGGAAGTCTTGCCTAGCATGAACAAACCCCTGAGTTCAATCCTTAGCAACACATCTGAATGTGGTGATATATGCCTATAATCCCAGCACTCAGGAGACAGACCTAGGAGGATTGGAAGGTTCAAGGCCATCTTTGGCTACATAGCAAGTTTAAGGTAAGTCTGAGATACATAAGATTGTGTCTCAAAAATAGATACAAAAATAGAAAGTAAGAGAAGGAAAAAGAAAGTGTCTTCTCATCTTATTTATGCACAGTTATCATTTCTGGCATTCTCCTTTTCTTCCTGTGAACTAAAATGCCATCTGGACCACTTCAGCCTCAAGCACTGCCTTCAGTGTTTCTTGAAAGCAAGCGTGCAGCAAAGAAGTCTCTAACATACATTTAAATCTGGGAATAGATTTCGCTTACTTTTCTTTTTTAAAGCATAGCTTTCCAGAATATAAAGTTCACCCGTTTGTTTCTGATAAAGTTTGATATTTTTGCTGAAACATGTTTCTCACTTTCCACCCAAATCAAGTCAGCACCTTCCAGCAGGGAAACTTCTGCTCTGAGTTGTTAGTCCCACCTGGCAGGCACCTCCAGCCTAGTAGAAGAAGGGATTGGGGGTGGAGGCATCCCTACACGAACAATACAGACTCTCCATGCTCAGACTGAAGGGCAACAGCTTCTTGTGAAGAAATGCTCATTAATTTGTTTTATGCTTTTGGTCTTTGCCTGGAGCCCTTAAACGATTGCTGTTTCTTAAGTATATGTGGAGTTTTATAACAGTCTGGGAGAGAGGACTTGTCACCGGATACATTCCTCTGATTTATACAGATTAAGTATTCTCAAAAGCTTTAGCTCTTAGAACAGCCACAGGCTTGAGAACTTTTTGATTGTATTAGTTCCTTGGGTCGGTCGTAGATGCCTATTCCTCTGGACTCTAGACTATCTCATTTTAACTTTATTTTTTTCCTGCTGGAAGTCAGAAAAATTATTTTTTTCTTTTTAAAAATATTTTATTGTTTAAGTACAAGTGTATTGCCTACATGTATGTGAGTGCACTGCATCATGCAATGCCTCGAAGGTCAGAAGATGGCATCGGATTCCCCTGGAACTGGAGTTACAGACTGCTTATAGCCACCGTGTGGGTGCTGGGAATCGAACCCAGGTCCTCTACAAGGGCAGTCAGTGCTCTTAACCACGGAGCTATCTCTCTAGGTCCAGAAAAAATATTTTTTTCATCAGAGATAACAGGGGACTCAGATTTACTTTATGGCATGATGTACTGCCATATGCACTGTTTCTTAAAAATAGAGATTTGGCTGTCTGGTGTCATGATTCATGCTTTTAATCTCAGCACTTTGGAGGCTGAGACAGGAAGATCACCATGAGTTTGAGGCCAGCCTGAGCTACAGAATGAGACTCTGTCTCAAAAATCCAGATGATATTTATGATGGTGGTGGTGGTGATGATGATTTGGGATTTTTTTTCATAACTATAAATGTAGTATAAGATTGTTTCAGAAAAATTTGAAAAGCACAGGAGAGATTTCTCTCATCAGAAATATTTTAAAGTGCTACCACTAAGAAAAATTTACTCAGCATGTTTGACATATTTAGTCTATTTTTATTGCTACCACCCAGAGAAAGACATGCTCAACATGTTTGACATATTGTCTATTTTTCTCTTTTCGCCCTACATGTTTCTCTCCTCTTCCCTCTCTGATGAACCATGGAGGGTCTCCCCTCCCCCCTCTCTTCCCTCCCTCTGTCCCTCCCTCTCTCCCTCTCTCCCCATGTGTGCATGTGTATATAGGAGAGACCATACATAAATTTACTTCTTAAGACTGTAGCCCTCTTCCAAGGTATTAAGATTTATTTTGTGGGGGCTGGAGAGATGGCTCAGCAGTTAAGAACACTGGCTGTTCTTACAGAAGACCCGGATTTGAATCCCAGCACCCACATAGCAGCTAACTCCAGTTCCAGGGGATCCTAACAACTGTCTGTAACTCCAGTTCCAGGGGATCCAACAGCCTTTTCTGTCCTCCGCAGGCATTGCACGATACCGGTGCTCTTACCTACATGCAGGCAATACACGCATACATATAAAATAAAAATAATACATAAAATATTTTTTTAAAAAAGATTTATTTTGTGAAAGGCTTTCTTATTATAGCAACTGATGGGTATATGCTGAGTATAAACAAGAAATCTATAAACCAAGTCTGAGTACAAATTCATATATTTTGGTTATCTAAAAATAAAGACTCCCTGTTTTAAAGAGAAACTAGATATTTACCGCCAAAAATTATACTGCTATTTATTTAGTTAGGTTTTTCTCTTTTTTTGGTGTTTTTTTAATTTGTATTTTGTTTTATAAGACAAGGTCTCCCTGTAGCCCCAGCTAGCCTGGAACTAGCTATGTAGAATAGGCTACCCTGGAACTCACAAAAATCTGCTTCTGCCTCTGCCTCCCAAGTGCTAGGATTAAAGGCATGTACCACCACGCTTGCCTGTTTTTGATTTTTCGAGACAGTATCTCATGTCTATATTGTTCTTTTATGTAAAAATGTTTCATCCTTGTGGTTACATATTGTATTCTTATGAATTTTTTAGTATATCAATATGGCTTGAGGCTGGATTTGCTTTTAAAAATTATTGGTGTGAGTTTTGTATGTTTTTGAGACAGGGTCTTGTTACGTTAACTATGAATATCCTGGAAGTTTCTGTGTAGCCCAGGCTGGCCACCTTGCAGTGATCCCCCTGCCTCTGCCCCCCAAATACTGAGGTTACAGACATGTACCATTTTGTTCCATTTATTATTGTTGACAGGATAGATTTATGTGGCCACAGGGTCTGAATGGAATATGACAGACCTGTTAATCAGGGGGTTGTGTGTGAAAAAGCCATCATATGAGTTCCCTGATTAATCCATTCAGGTCCAGTGACTGCCCCACTGAGAGCCACATATGGCACGGGAACAGGAACCTGAACGTCAGAGCAGAGATCCTCCATGGTTCATCAGAGAGGTAAGTCATTCACAGGATACACTCTGAGTTGCCAGGGACACCAAAAAATAAGAATGAGACAAAATGAAACTAAGGCCATCTGGCTGGAGAATTGTTTGAAACTTTTGTGAGTTCTTTTAAAAATGATAGGAGGGGCTGGAGAGACAGCTCAGCGGGTAAAGAGTCCTGGCTGCTCTTACAGAGGACCCAGGTTCAACTCCCAGAACCCACATGGCACCAGGCTAACAACTGTCCATAATTCCAGTTCTAGGGGCTCTGTCTGTCTTTTCTTATCTCCGCAGGCATAGCGTGACATGGGTATATTTACATACATACCAGCAGTACACTCATATACATAAAATAAAAATAATAAAATATTTTAAAATTTAAAAAGATAGGAGTTTGCACTTCTCCCTCAGCTCTCCATGCTCTTCATAAATACATTTAAAAAACATTGTTATTGCCACCCAACTTCACAGGGGACCCTATGCAGTCAGGACTGGCAGGTGCAGGGAGCTCTTGGCTCAGGCAGACAGAGGGACTTGGAGATCTGAAGGGCTAACGGAATCTTAAGTCTTTGAAAGAGGAGATTTCTGAAGTGGAGGGGTTTGAAAAGAGTTTGGGCTCAGGCTTAGAAATTTCTGAAGGTGAGGAAGATAGGATAACTGGGCTATTGGACAAGTTAGAGTATGTCGTGTTAAAGCATGGGAGTGAGTTTCTCCACCTGGAAAAATGGCTGTCCCATTCAGTAAAATATTGCATTATTACTAATGTAACTTCGGGAAATTCCCATGGGGTCCAGCCCCGGCGGGCGGGGGGGGGGGGGGGCTTGGGAACAGATGCAGGGAAATTAAAATGTCCTGATTGTGGGGGGTGTCTCTGCCCTGAGGTTCAGGTCCCTGTTCAGGTGCCACGTGTGTGGTTCCCTGGTGATCTAGTGGTTAGCATTTATCACTGTTGTGGTCCAGGTTCCTTACCTGGTCTCCAGACAGGGAGCCACATAGACTTCCATCAGAACAAACTCAGAATTAAGAGGAGAGGAGTTTCAATTTGACATCATGTTTTTCCCTCCTTATGGGAAACAGAAAGTGGCTTAGAGCCAGGACATAAAGTATTTGGAAAGACTAAATCCATCAATCAGCAGGACATGTCCTTTGGAGGGAGGAGCCACACCAATAGCAACATGTAGTGTGGGCTTTATTTTTAACCTTTAGGAACAATGTCCCTAAGCAAGGAAAAAATAAATGTTCTTCTTAGTCTTGACTTGTGCTCATTTGGGGGGTTAAGTCAGTAAGAAGTCATTGGCAGCTCATCAATTGGAGGGGTGCTGAACCGGAAATGGAGTAGCCACCCCACCCCATCACTTTCAGTTCAGCAAGAAGAGGAAACTCAATTCCCTCAGGAGCTGACACAGAATGAGCAGGAGGGGCCATCACTTTCAAAGCCCAAGGCATTTCCCTGAATGCTCAGGCAAAGCCTGGAAAGGAATATTTCCTCCAGCAGTTGAGGCTGAAATTTCACAATGACTAAGGGGCTTCTCAAATGGGGGAATTTAGAGTTTGAGGAGCAACCCAGCAGTGGCCTGAAGGAAGAGAGGAGCGAGAGGGTAGAGAGATTAGTGAATGGTCAGCTTGGACTCAGGTCCCATTTGGTAGCTGATCTTGACTCAGTCCTAGGGGAAGTTAGTATGCTAAGATGCATGCCAGTGCCACTTCCAGAGCTCACAACTGTAAGAAAATGCAACTGTAGCCAGGTGGGTTTTTATTGGTGACAATGCTTTTGCCTACTGAGAACACCATAGTTTATAGTTATTTAAATAAAGTAATTCAGTGCCATGACTTTGAGTTCCCTACAAGCAGAATAATTGGATAACCACTTATGCGCTCTACATCCAAATAACAGAATCTTGTGTGTGTGTGTGTGTGTGTGTGTGTGTGTGTGTGTGTGTGTGTGTTGCTAGGGACAGAACCCAGGGTTTCATGCTTGCTGGGCAAAGGCTAAGGCTGAAATACACTGAAATACAACACAGCTCCAAATGTCTTTAATACACAGACTGGCTTGGCCCTCACCACATCTATATATTAATGTGTGTAATGTCTTTTCGTAACCCAAAGGCTTATGAATTGCTTCCCCAAGCAAAAGCTGAATTCTCTGTAGAGCTATAAAACATAGTTTGCAAAATTACAATGTTTTGTAATCTGTGACTGCTATCCAAAAATTGTTTTAAGATGACTGAAATTTTTCCTGGATTCTTGTTCAGAGTTTATTTCTGGTCTCTAGAATCTTAACTATCTCATCAAGAATATTTTCTTCTTTTTATTTTTTGAGGTTCTCACTCTAGCTCAGGCTGGTGTTGAACTTACTATGTAGTTCAGGCTAGCCTCAAATTTGAATTCATGACAATCTTCCTGCCTTAGCATCGTGACTGCTGGAATTACAAAGCCACTATGCCCAGCTGAGAATATTTTCTTTAAAATTTGATACTCTTCTTCTTATGAACAATGTCTTTAGACACCAAAAGTATTCATTAATCATACAAATTCCCTAGGCTAGAAAGAGAAGACTCATGTGACCTGACTGTTTCAGGCTGGATTTTCAACTCTGTTGCCTACCAGTATGGTCAAGCAAAACTGCCTTTTCCCACTCATGGGCTTTCGGTGTTCATTTAGGTTATTCTAACAAAGATCACATGGGATACTCTTCTTCTTATGAACAATGTCTTTAGACACCAAAAGTATTCATTAATCATACAAATTCCCTAGGCTAGAAAGAGAAGACTCATGTGACCTGACTGTTTCAGGCTGGATTTTCAACTCTGTTGCCTACCAGTATGGTCAAGCAAAACTGCCTTTTCCCACTCATGGGCTTTCGGTGTTCATTTAGGTTATTCTAACAAAGATCACAATTGCCATACTTAACCCTTGATTGAAAACTATATCTTT